TTTTAGTCGTAGGCTTACTATTAGATTATTTGTTATTCATACACCCATGTCTCCTTGACTTAAACAGCAAGATTAACTTTCTCTCGATATTACTAAAATTTCCGAAAGATAAACATTCGTCGAAAAGTGATTTTTCGTGCGGTTTTATCGTCGATTTTGCCAGACGTAATTATGCGAGTTGAGTTATTGGAAAATAGTTACCGATATTATTTACATTAATAAAATCATCATCTTCCAGGCAAAAAATACATCGATGTTGTTTTAAAGTGTGTCGTTTTCATCAATAGATGTCAGTTTTTTGCTGCTTTGCAATTTGGTATGCATTAAATAGCGACGAATTTTTTTGTCAACTTATATCAATCACTCTTCGAAGAGTATCATTCTTGACTAACTGCTGAAACTAACGACTATATTCGTGAGTTTTTGAACTCTCATGTTCTGATTTACCATTTATCTACTATAATTGTTTCTTCAGGTTTTTCATAAACTTCCAACTTATCTCAATTGTTATAAACTTCGAAAGTTGTTGCTTGGTGCACTATTTTCTTAGAATGCTTTCTGCTAGCAAGGTATCATTTTAGGTTTCTTAACGTGGGAGTTTGAAATAATCAAGTGATTATGATGGCAACGTCGACAAATGAATTCAGAATGTGGATTCGAATAATTGTGATATCAATTACAATTTCAGTTGTTGTACAGGTTCTTTTACGCTCATCCATTATTTATATCCTTTGTCATCACTGAGTTAGTGACTTCATTTATGGAGGTTCACGTGATTTTCTTCGCCAGCTGGTTACATCACACGATAAATTCCAGTTTCAACTCAATTAATGAGTGCTTTCATGAAGACGATTCCGCTTATATACTGAACATTTATCATGACTTCATGTGGCCAATAATTTATCACGTATTATTTTGAGGTTATTTGGTCAAATTTCCAAAATATAACAATATCTCGTCGTTCTCTGTGTCACAGTAAATTGGTACCAGATGTCGTACGAACTGTGATTACATGCCCACCGAGCCTGGAATTGATACATGGACATCTCCTGGAGGAGAGATATCAGTGAGTTGTCTTGCAATACTTTTGATCTCATTGTTAGAGTCTCTCTGTTATGGATGATGAAATTTCTGCTCTTATATGCGCTATTGAATGCAATAACGTTTGTTGTTACAGGACCAAGGAAGTGGGCTATTTCGTTGATCCACTTCCAGTTGAACCGTGGTCTGATGATCGAGGAGGGCCGATTTTACCAGAAGAGAAATTAGCGGTCCCACTATTGACCAGATCTCCCGACCAAAGAAGGAAGGAACTTGAAACAGAGGCTATTGCTGCGCTGAACGCCGCCGTTTCGTCGCGAAAGAAGGGCAACATGCGAAGGGTTTGCCTTTGAAACCTTCCTAATTCCCCTCCGACAGATGTAAATGAATTTCATAGATTTTCAAGAGGTCGCCTGAAAAAAAAATGAAGCGGTAATATCTTGCTAATTACTGCAGGCTGAAACAATAATAGAGCATGCATTGGCACTGGCGCCGAATCATCCAGACATTCTCACAGAATATGGTATCATAATTGAAACGACACGTAAGAACTTGGTTGAAGCTGAACAATTGTACACTCGAGCGCTCAGCTATGATCCTCATCACACCGAAGCGTTAACGTAAATTCACTGACATTTCGTTGCCTTTTTTGTGCAAAATTTTTTACTGTTTATTGTCATTNAGTTCAAAATATCTGTGTGGTAATTGTAATGAAACTCTAGCGTCGACACTGTTGATTTTGTGATATTTTCTTTCAGTCGTCGTGCTCGGACACTTCCACTAGTTGAAGAGATCGATAAGAATATGCTGAAGGAACTGCGACGAAAACGTGCATACTTCTTGAGGATACCACGCAATAATTCTGCGTTGAAGCGTGCTATGCGTGAATCGTATTTTAAACATGTCTACCACACAGTCGCAATTGAGGGCAACACCATGACTCTAATGCAAACCAGGTTCATTTTTCACTTTTACCGTACGTTCGTTCTGGTTACTTTCATTGACAATATAATAAAATTCCATCGTCAGCTTCTTTTTTTTTTGGTGAGATTTTGAAGATGATTGATGATAATGTGAGGTTTGTTGTTGCGTTGCAGATCGATCCTCGAGACGAGAATGGCCGTTGCGGGTAAAAGTATTATGGAACATAATGAGATCCTCGGCATGGACGCTGCACTTCGTTTTTTGAACCATAGTCTTGTACATATTGGTCGTCTCACCGTCGACGTTAGTTGTTTTCGTTGCCATTTCTTCAATTATTTATTGACTGTTGTCTTTGAGTCAGATATTGGAATAATTATTCATTTGGGAATGCGTAATCTATTGACAAACGCGTTGGCGACTTGAAAGTAGATGGTCTGGTGCTTGATCTGATTGGAAATTTTTCAAATTGAACCTCATTAATTAAGGATCTTCTCGCAATACATCGTCGAGTTCTTGGATTCGTTGACCCTGAAGCTGCTGGTGTATTTCGCACCACACAGGTTGCTTGTAATCTGTTATATTTTATGATTGTTTTGCTGTTGCAATCATTCGATGGAATTATTTANTGTTGTGTTGAAGCGATGCAATTTCATCACCTATTTTAGGTTTATGTGGGAAGTTTCACACCGACTGCGCCAGAACTAGTACCGGATGAAATGGAGGAACTGGTTATGTGGTTGAACGATGAAGAAACCCTTCTGCTCGACCCAATCGAATTTGCAGCTATTGCTCATTATAAGTTTGTATGTCTTATTATTATTGTTGTTTAAATGACTGCATTTAGCAATATTATTATTTTTACCGTCATTATTATCGTCTGATTTATCATCACCAAGGACATTCGTTGTAGCAACTCACCGTCGAGGTTGAGAAGTCCAGCCAACTGTGGCGATTCCTCGAGACTGTTTTGTTCTTTTTTTGGGATGATTATTGTCGTAAGTACTCGCTGAATTTACATATTTGACGGATTCGTAATTTTATCTTCATTCTCAGGTCTACATTCATCCGTTCGTCGATGGCAATGGTAGGACAGCGAGATTATTGATGAATTTGATTCTTATGCAAGCTGGATATCCGCCCATTATAATTCCAGTTGAGGAACGGTCTGAATATTATCATACACTAACTGCGGCGAATGGCGGTGATCTGAGGCCTTTTATACGTTTCATCGCAAAGCAAACCGATGCCACATTGCAGGTTCGTCGTTCTGATAGTTCACTTCGTTTCATTTCGTCTTTGACATCACTAAAAATATTTTGTAGTGAGCTCGTAGTCACAGCAGTGCTGAGGCGTTTCATCCATGTTTGCCTGTCTCATTTTCCCTTCGTGTCGTATTATCTTTCAATTCAAAGTGGTTATGTCCATATCTTCAGGTATCTGATACGACCATAATTTGGTCGTACAATACTTGTTCATATCACGATCTGCATTTCTTGAACTGTTTAACTCTCTTATAGTGGGATTTCATTTCATGCTTTCATCTTACCTCTTCGTCTTCCTTTTTTTATACATTCGAACTGTTTGTAATCGGAAACGGCCTGGTAAAATTAGTTGATTTGTTGCACAGTTATTCTATTTTAATTACACACTTGTTCGTTTTACTGTTGTATGGTACTTGTTGTGCTAACTGCGATGCACCATCGATACTACGATGAAGGCGAGCTGAAGAAGTGACACTTTCAGGAGCTGATCGATATGGTATCACCAAGCAAAGATAGTCGTAATCGAGAAATGATCAACGTGATGAATTCAAGAAAATCAAATCTGCAAAATATTATACCGTCCGTACAGGATAGCTTTAGTAATACAAGGAATAGTTTATGAATTTCTCGTATGGTAACTCTTGTCGTATATCATACGGAGTGAATTTAGCACTGAATTTACATCAGTATAACGCAGCTTAACCCATTGAAATTGAGTATGAACTGTTAATATTGTATTATTGATTCGTCGATGTGATTAACGTTCGATTGATTTGTGATTGATGAATCGATGGAATTGTGATGTTGATGTTAATGCGTATACCTCATATTGTTAGTCAGAGAGAAGTGCGTTTGCATTTTTCTGCTTCGTGCAATCAATCAGTATTGATGAAGTTCGTGTTTTGTTGGCTTCAAATGGTGCGAATCTCTTGTAAACTTACAATTAATGCTGTCGATGACGATAATGTATCGCCTTTGATGTTTATTTTTCTTTCGTTTGGTTTCATTTCTTTCATCTTTGATATTTTTTCTTTTCATTTGGTCTCCTCATTACTGATTTTTGTTTTTGAAATCAGTCATTTTGGGTTTTCTTCCTGTATTATGGATGTAACTATTTTTGGATTCGGTGATTATCTTTGATATTCTCTTCATGTCTTACCTTGTATTCTACTATGGCTGAAATTCAGTCATAAAACGCATAATAGTATTGTTTTTGTTGTATTGTTGTTTTTGTTGTTCGTTCTAGTTTCAAAAACAGAATTTATTTGGTGCCAAAGTGAATTAGTCGGTGACTGGATTCTAATCATTATTGTCTTTTATTGTCATCCTCTTGCCAGATTTTTCCCTTTCCATTTGGGTGTTTCCGCACTCTGTTCTTCTTATGTTCCTAGGATGAGTCTCTTACGTTTGATTCTAAACTAGTTAACGAATGCTGATGATTCTCATTGATGAATGTGATAAACGCTCTGGTATTCAATTAATAATGTGGTAATCTTCTACTTAACATGTTCATAAAAAGGCCGAGTTATATGTCAATCGCGAATTGATTTATTGCTGCGCTTTCGGTTGAGTTTTACCACAGGGCTTAGCCTGAAGCTTACCACAAAGCTGAGGTTCAATCCACCCCAGTTCATGTTGAAGCTAGTCACGCGGATAAAAGTCATCCGCCGTCTTTCATAAACTCATTCATCGCAANTGAAGGAGATGGTTGTTTTCTTTGCGTAAGAGAATCATTCATCTGTTGGCATGAATCTGAATATGAGATACTAGAACTCTACGCCTAATATCATCAGTTTTACGTTGAAGATATATAGATACGATCTGACTACTTCCATGCTCGAGCAAATGAATAGTCATCTCACAGTAACTTATAGTTATTATGTCTATTGTAATGTGGTCATGTACGATAAGATATGACGGGTATTGGATTATTTCAGTCATATATGAATACGGTGATCACTTGTGATGCACACCAAAATATGGACGAATGCTTGGCAGCTGGGGTGACACCCGGAATCGGTACGCAAACAATCAAACTGAATCAAGAAGATTTAGCTGACCAGAATTGACGGGTGGATATGAGTGAAAAGATGAAGGAAATTGACTCGATCACGCCTATTACCCGTCATACCTCGCAGATGTATTTATTCATGTGTCATCTACATACATTCCATAGTTTCGATGCTTTGGTTTCCCATAGTAGAAAGCTTGTAAATATCATGTTATCAGAGATATTGTTGTGCGATATTCATTATGCTTGCAGAATGAATTTTCAGTTTTTGTTTTCTGTTTATTGAGAACTTTACCGTAGTCGATTGATTGATCAATCGATTTGCTTTATCGTCGTTTATGGATGTATTTTGCTATTCAATGTTAATACTTTTGTTGGTATTACTAACATCGTTGCTGATTGATTTTATCAATTGTAATTCAAATTCTGACTGTGATACGCATCGATGAAGTGTTCTCCTTTCCTTATTTCTGTTCAATTGATGTATTTTTTAATTCAAACTTTTAATTGCTCACTATTGAATTTCTCATTTTTATCACTATATCAAATAGGACGATTGTTTATTTACAGACATGCAGATATACGTGAATGTTCATTTCTTATCTTCCTGTATAACTGGTATGTATCGTTTTTTGATAGTATCATAAAGATTCCATCGTATACGACCGATCATGTCATTGCCCGTTATCATGAATGAATGATTGAATGAATGAATTGGAATGTGCATTGCTTTAAACATCGGTCCATCAATTAACTATTCAACTTCACAAAGCAACTCTCATCAATTAGTTACTGCTTTGAAAGAGTTCAAGCAAAACGATCCCTTAGAAATAGTTTATTTGAACCATAAACAATAGGATATCGCCTGACATCACTTATTATAACTGAGGAATGTTTTTGAAATCACTGAGCCAATAACATCCGTTGAGTCAGTCTATCTTGATTAGATTCTCAAGAGGATGCCTTGTTTCGGACCTATCATCAAATTATGAGCCGATAAGTCGAGTTGTTGTCTCTTATAGTAAGTGTCACAATTGGATGTCATCGCAACAACACTGACGTCGGCTGCTGAACGGTCTTCTGGTATCAGTGGTTTCACATCCACTGGACGATCGATCGCACCGAAATTGCTCACAACGATATAAGCCTGTAAAAGAATGCCAATTTGTGAATCTATTATCTTCATTAGAAGAAAAAATCCTTTTTCTGTTCATCACGACAAAATATGAAGAAGCATGCTGATCACTTTTTGTGGATGGATATGTTATTGAGAACAGGTTTCATTTTCAAAATTAAAAGACAATTCAACAGGCGGAAACAAACAGCACATGGATAATGGTATGTGGTCAACAAGACCTAATTGAACAGGTTCATTCTCTTGAGGCAAACATAACCAACCAATTAGCCACGATTATGTTTTGAGGCATTGATGTTCTGAGGCATTTGAGGCAAGTGCTTAGTGAAATAATCAAAGGCTTGTTTTGAAAAATCTTCTTAAACACTGAATATTTTGGGAACTAGCGACTGAAGCAGATTTTAGGTAATGAAATTCGAAACGAGAAACGTACAGGTCCTTCAGTTTTCGTATTCTCCGATCCGACACGATGTATACGAGTGTACATGATAAGATCGCTAGCGAATGGCGTTAAAGTCATCGCAGCGAATGCGATATTCTCATCGCGTTGTCGTAACTTCGCTAACGTTTTAAAGGTCTTCAACGGTGACGCTGATGCTTTGTATTGCGTCTGAAATCAACAATTTTGGAATGCGCTTCATTGACGGAATATTCGAATTCTGAACAATCGCCAGTGATATTGCAATGTAAAATTTGCACTGCCACGCAAAACAGCCACATTTCTCTGATCAGTGTCCATAGCATGATAGTTTTAATCACCTAGCAAAATAAATGCTTCGAAGAAGAAACGAACGCACTTCGAAATTCAATTTTTCATAGTCGGGTGTATTCGTATAAAATGGTTGCTGGGCTCCAGAAGTGAAACCGGCATACTGCGTTGAATCCCATTGCATTAAGCCAGTGTATTGTCTGGTCGAATTGATCGCATCCGTGAGGCCAATCTCTTGACCGTAATAGATTTCTACAGCACCGGGCAACGTCATTTGTATGAAAGTCATCAGATTACCGGTGTCTTGGTCAAATCTGGAGGTTTTTCGAGAAACGAACGAATTCGTGAATTGCCATATATGCGGTAAGCGAGTACGTTCGAAATGACGCAATGACTTTGTAATCGAATTGTACAAACATCTCGCTACACCGTCTTGACAGGTGCTCTGCAATAGTAATCATTACGTTCAACGTGAAACAATATGAAATGAATCATTTGTTCTTATAAACTTTCATCAAACTGAACGTATAATCGACGTTTTACTGGTTTAGAGTGCAACACTACGATATCAATGATGTTGATACCCACTATCATTAATGTTGTGAGCCTCAGCCAGGCTATGATCCGGCTTGTATCTAATATGCAATTATCTGTTATTACTACGATATCATTTCAAAAACTGAATGGTCACAATAATGATGTGTCAAATGTGCACGCCAACCAGTGATGTTGCCTACTAGGTTTTTGCAGCCATTAGTCTTCTAATCGTAAGTTCTCGGTGCTTCTCAGCCAAGAATTCCAAACCTTTCAAACAAATCAACGTACCGAATCAAGTTGAGCAACGCCGTCATCGATAACGTACTCCATACTCGCCAGGTTGTACTGTTGTTCATCATCGCGTGGCTGTACCTCCTCCATATCGTTCATCGTACAAAAGACGACTATATGCTTGTCTTTCAACGCTTGACTGTCACTTACATAGTTATCCAATGCTTGATTGAAACTCTCCAACGCGGCCAATGCTGCTTTCGCCTGCAATATTACTCTTCATCACATTATTAATATTCAAAAATCCATATCTTTAGTTATGAATTTATTTAAATAAATTTATGAATTCAGAAATTATGAATTTATGAATTTTTCATGAATTTATCGTCATCGTTTTATGAATTCTTCATTCATCATTCCCGTTCAATGCTTCAAAAACATTTAAATGTTTAACAAATTTCAGTGAAGCAGAAAAGTGAATTGCGATGAAACGAACATGAACCACTGTTGAAAATTTCGACGGCGGATGAAGAGGAAAATAAGTCATAAAATGCCGAGCAGCAGCTTACTTGAGGTGCAGTGGCTTGCGATTTCATCAGATGATGAATATAGGCCAAATGGAATCCGTCAACCCCCGCTTCCAGATAATTTTGCGCTACGTGAATCATCGCCTTTTTCACCTCCTCGTTTTCCCAGTTCAAAATCGGATCTCTTCCATTATATGCCAAGAACACGTCGTCAGTACCTGGCACACTAACATAGTTCTTGTCATCCAGTACATCAGATTTCTTCTTCCATATGTAAAACTTCCTGTATTTGCCACCTTTCTTCGCATCTTCGAACCTGCAAATTCAGCAGTGTGCTTAAATCAGCAGCACTATGCATCGAAAATATTCACATATCTAAGTGCTTTTGTTGTGAGTCGAAGAAAAATCCTTCAAGATGTCATTGCAAGATGTCATTTCCGATAAAGTCGTACATTTACTAAGCTGTTCCGCTGAACACCCGCAATAAGCTCAACGTACTCTTAATCATCCTTTTCTATCGTTGTTTTCCGATAGACTCTGATTCAGCTATGTTATTTGCGAATCGTGTTGAATGCACGAATAGTGCTCAATGCGCAATCGCTTGATCATATTTCTTGATCTATCTAAATCCGTTTTCCTTGCTTATTAGTAATACTGACCATATATGTTGCGATGAAGTGGTTGCTATTGGCAGATCCATAACGAAATACATTCCGTGTTCATGGACCGCACTGATCAGCTCTNGGAATTGCTGCATCGTTCCGAAACGTTCATCCACTGTGTCAAAGTCAACCACATCGTATGGCATGAAGTCATCCTCAAAACAACGATCATTCTCTCAATAAACGGCGTTTTCTAGTGAATTTGCTGATGAATTCGATGACGAATTGTCACAGAGTTGGTTAGAATGGATGGATATTATTACGATTGTAAGTTATTTCGTGACTGAGTTTGAGTTAAAATGAACAGCCCTTATTTGATACAATAATGTGATTTGACAAGTACACACACATCAATGTCAGTCACTAGCATACTGATCCAAAACCGGATTCACTTAACGCTTCTTTCTCGAACCAAAGTGTTTGCTCATAATTTTGCTCAGCAAAAAACGTTAGTTACTGTTGCATGACTATTCATACTATTCAATTCATAACACTTAACTCATCCACTGTTCAGCAAATAATATTCAGCAAATAGCAAATAACATCCACACTATTAAGCTGTTCACTATTAAGCTGTTCACGTGATTTTTTGCGATCATACTTAACCACTGAACACTGATCAGGTAAAATCGCGTGATAGAAAAGATCGATGATGTATTATGGATAAAGCGTGACTATACTCATGTTCAGCGTATTAATTTCATACAAGCGATTAAAATACAGTTTGCCTTTGAGTTCAATTTGATTATAATTCTCAATTGTTCACTCAATCAACAACAGAAACGTGAATGTACGAAGAGATTCAAGCGATTTTATCGTATGTTTAGAACTCTCGAAGTCGTTGCTTGATTTAAGACTGACACGATTTTAGTTAGAACCTGATAGCGGATAAATTCTCGACTCGTTATTCTACTCAATTTTCGACTGATGATTTGACTGATGCGACGGTCTCAAGGTGATTTGCTTGCTAATCAAGCTCATGTTTACATCCGTGGTTGTGTGCATCGCAATATACCTTTTGAGTCTTTATCACAGGTGTTAACCAAATGTTCTGTATGCCAATTTTGCGCAAATCATCCAATTTCTCTTCGACACCTTTGAAATCGCCAATTCCATTTCCGTCTGAATCGCGGAATGACGGTGTGAAAACCTGAAATCATCACACTGCCGTTGTGCCGTCCAAAACTTTCATTCAAATTGTTCAAGTATTTCACCTAATCAGGTCGACTAATTTTCGTCAAATTCCATTCTTCACTGAAAGTTGTTTGTTTATTCTTATGGTTTCGATTTCATGTTAGTGTGCGATTGATGCGCTCGCTCGCTTGCTGTTTTGAATTTTGGCAACAATGAATCGCTGCTATCACCAGAAATGAAGAGTTATCACCAAATGAATTGAATATTTTATCAGTAGAGGGTCGGTATTATCACTATTAAGCTGTTCACGTGATTTTTTGCGATCATACTTAACCACTGAACACTGATCAGGTAAAATCGCGTGATAGGAAAGATCGATGATGTATTATGGATAAAGCGTGACTATACTCATGATACTACCATTGATTGAGTCTGATTCTTGACTCCTTGTTCAGCTATACGTCATGAATTCGTATCGAGTTTCAGGCTATTTCACATGGGATTTCCAAAAAATTTTTCCCGGAGAAACTCGGAGAATTTTTCACCCTCAGATCATAACGTCCGCTAGAAATGAATTGTTTGCACCTCATTAGTTTCACTGAAAGCGAAAAACCTGTCGTCATTCAGTGTGGTGATTTGATTTAATGATGCAATGCTTACGCTTATGTTGCGATCGTTTACAATTTTATGAAACACTACATCGATTTTCGCCTGATTGCAACAGGTTTTTATGAACCGAATTGTTTTGACAGATTATTTGTTTGTTTAATCGACTGCATGACGATCGTTATTCGAGCATTTCGGATTTAATACGCACAAAGTTTTGATTCACTAATGAATCATGACGAAACCGATGCTTCAATCGCCACTAGTAAAGTTTAATGAATCAATCGTGTGATTGTGATCCATAACTTGTATGAGCATTGTGTTTACTGCTATAGCCATTATTACTGTTACTATTATTGATCAAACAGTAATGTAGTTTATTGCCCGAAAGAAGGTACGAAAATCTCACACAAACCTGATAGCTAATTTTGGTTTTCCACCATTCTGGTTGCTTTTTCTGGACGCATTTCGGACTGAGTATAACGATTAGAATTGCACCGACGAACATCGCTATCCATGCTAACCAAAACAGCACGAACAGGGTCAGCCTGAAGCGACAAAAAATATCCACTTCTACTGTCTCAGTGAGCGTTACGAAATACTTCATCTCATTCAGTCTATCGAATTCGCTCTCGTGCTGCTACTTCAGAAGATTTTGCCAAGAATTGCAATTTCTTGCTGATTCCTTAGATGAATTGGATCGAAGTAATTTGTTACAAACCGCAGTGTTTTCCAGAATGGATCATTCCGAAATTGCTCCAGTTGCTCTTTCGTCAGTCCGATTGTTTCGCCTTTCGCAGTCAAACTGATGGCTTCCGACTCCTGCAAACAGTTTATAGACTACCTTTCTTGATGCGCGCAATCGATCATCAAATCACAAACTGATTGCCTCAATGGAATTTGATCAGTTTCGATGATCACCTCTCGGGAGCAGAATGAGAGATTACTCGAATAAAAATTGCGCTCAGAGTGAGTGGATTTTACAGTAATCTTTTTTACACGTTCAAAATTTATAAGAGTGCATTATTGCTTGAATTGTGAATTGTCGCATACTCGATCGGAAGTATCGTCAAAGAATTGTAATGGACAAATGGGAATTGCTCAAAACCTTTGTGTATTTGGCTTCTCCATTTTCAGCTTCCATGAGGTTTGATTCTTTGTCTTTTGACAGTGGTGCAGTTGTATTCTCCTCCGACATCGCCGCCACTCGATTACCTTATCAACTGAAGTAACATTACGTTCACAAGATGTACGATTGCATTCTTCATCGGTAATGCGATTATATTCATTCCTATATACCTACTAACAACAATCGTAACAACAATAATATCGAATCAAAATATCGAAGTACAACTCCAAGGAACGAGCCTCCTTTCAGGCAGTCACAATTTCCAACTATTCCCTTAATAACCAGCAATCACTCAAATCATGCCATTTGTGGGGCGTGACAAGCATCAAAACCCTTATGATGGCTTTAGTTCGGCTGTCGTTACTGCTATCAGCAGCGCCCAATAGTGATATCAGTAATTGCTGTTATCAGTCAAATAATCTATTTATGTGCTGCAGTGAACAATTGATCATTAATATCATTATCAATTTTATCGCTTTGTAGCCCACCAACTGCCAACAATAATTTTAATTTTTCATACTAACAAAATGGAACTTAAAGCGGTCGATCATTTATAAAGTGTTAATTACAAATTCGAGGGTCTTAAATAATTCATTAACTAGTTGCATCTTCGGTTAAGGAATAATGAACAAGAGGACATCGCCTGATCGTAGACAGTAGCAATGTGAAATGAACGAAAGTAAAACGGAGTGAATGAGGAAGGGCATCGTCGCTAAGCGGTGCTCAGATGTTAAACCAATGCGATTTGGTGCTGCTGCTGCTTCGAATAATGTCAGCTAAGCAAAAATGAATTCAAAAGAAAGACAAAACAAGAAGCATTCAATGCAGAAGAAATTGTCGAAACACGGAAGTATTGCTGTGATTTGGGCAGATTTGAAGAGCTTACAATAGGAGCGATAGCGTTGAACGATTGATTACACGGATACTTCGGCGACAAAAAATGAGTGATGAATTGAACTCGGAATAAGTTATGCTCACAAAAACTTTTGCTACAAGAGGCCTTTTGTGTGCTTGGAACTACAGTGATGATGACTGACGGTAGTGCAATTTTATACGTCTTATGTTGACATTTAATCCATTTGTAATTCTTTCCATTATTCAACCAAACACCATTTGTTAGGCAATGTAAAAGGTGATTTATAATACCGCATTCACAAAACTTTCTTTCTCGTTGACACCTCAGTACATAAATCAATTTCATAAATTAACACTTGAGTACTAACAGCCTCTCAATAGAACATTCATCGAATAGATTCAACAGACCCAATTCAGCATCAAAAATCATCGATAAATCATGATCACATGCATATTCACTTAGCATTTTGCCAGGAATTCGTTCAGAGGAATGCCCAAATGCTCATTGAATGCCCAAAAATATTCAATGTATTCTCAACAGTGTCAGTTTTCACGATGAGTGAGCATAATCTCATGCTCATCAACATATCATTGCTGCAAAATTTTTGCGNCATGATTTATAAAGGTTGAACATTGCTAATGCATGCTTCTGAAAGAAGAAATGCCTACTCGAAATTATAAATCTTGACAGATATCACTGAATATAAACTTCGGAAGCATCAGTAAGAGACATGCATTCATAACTGATTCACTTGCGCTAACAATAAGCTGAAACGACTGGAACTAAAATGATGAAGTGCATTGTAAAACAACAGTCGAATATAAATTTGCATATGCAAATTTATAACGTCACTAATGTTTTTTAAAAGAAATGAATTGACACAATCAATTCACATTATTCAGCTGACGTGATGAGCACTTTGAGCGAACAAACAAAACCTGACAAGCAGGAAGATTTGTTGACGAAAAACACTACAAAAAAGAGCGATGTTTAACGAGGAAGCGATTGATTCGTCGAAAATTTCGAACTGGAATGTAATTGAACGGAAACGTAAACGTACGAATATTCTTAACGTCCCAAGCGTTATTCTTAGGGCAACAATTAAACATTGAGAGAACATTCGATCTGTACAAGAAAATTTCCGTAGCGTTGCACTGTACGGCATTGCAAAGAGGAATTCGCTCACTTGTTCGTTTGCCTTACTTTAATATGAAGTACAAAATGCGAAACAGTAATAAATTGCATCATTCTGACGCTTCCTGTGCCACTAATTTAAACACTGCTAACACCTCTAGAAAAAGTTCATTCAAACACTCACTAATATTACGCTTCTTGTTCGACGGCAGTTTCTGAAATAAGAAGATTGATTTAGGAATGCCTTAATGACTGAAAATCCTTCGTTCTCTGTTACTCTGAAACGTTCGAGGCACAAATAAGAATGCTGCATTTCACTGTTACGAGATGAAAAATATTTGTTCAAGGATCCGGACTAGCTGATCAGGTAATGCCGGTATCGCGAGAAATCATATATATCTTAAGTAACGATGTAGATCATCATCACTTCATGAGAGCTACTACTTCAGTAGCTCAAACGATCTCAATATAGTCGCTCTGTGTCAAGGTTGACATATCGCGACGATAATAAGTACTCTACTGTATATTATCGCACATCTCAAACCAAAAGTGTTGCATACGTTGTAATATTGATATACATTTCTATTATATGTGTAAGGATCATAGAATTTTATTGATAATTTATTGATAATTCATTCACAGTTCACATCATTAACTGAGCTCTAATGAATGCACGGGAACAATAGAGATGTTCAATTAATAACGTTGGGTTGGCAGTTTAATTACCTAGAAGATAATAAACGTAGTTTGGCTAGTAAACCTAGTTGAGGAGGTACAACTCACTGTGCTATGTAAAGTTAAAATGCAAAAAGAAATGCTCATTTGACTAACAAGTATGGAGATGACGATGATGGCTAATCTGTTTCTCGAGTGATGACAAGTAGTTTGATTGGTGGATGGATGGATGGATGGATATCACTTAGGTACTTGACAGATTAATCGAGTTAGAACAACCATCAACGTGCTACCCTTGGTGGTCACTTAGTCAAGAGTTCAAGAGTTCATTTCAAACGATTCCCGAAAGAAGGAATCTATTAGTAAACAGAAACCGGTACTTATAAAGCTGATCAGTGTTTGGGGTCAAAAGGCGTACACTTTCGCGATCGTCCCGGCTCTTCTTCATCCACCGCACCTGCATGTTTGCTTATTATGTTTTATAAGATGAACTGAGAAGATAAAGCTGAGAATAGTGCTAGATTTGAAGGCAATATAAATATTTTCGCTCTAATTGTAAGCAATTTGTTTGTCACAGCTCTTGTTTCCGGTTGAATGTTTAATAACTCATCATTTGCGCATATGTATGAATGGCGGTGAGGGCTCTTAATGAGAGGATGTTATATTTGCACTTGGTGCAAATGAATTAGTCAATAAATCATTATATCTGATGTATATGTTGAGAATTTCTCAGGAGATCTAATGATCACATACGCATCTCCTCATCTNGAATACTGAAAAGAATGTTTGTTCATGGTGTAATCTTTAAAATGCATCTTTTGATGGATACATTTTATATGCATTGAAAACTTTGATCATTACAACTCCTAATAAAATTTCTGTCGAGAACGTGCTGGATCTCAATGTTTGCTTGCCCTTGTACACGTGAAGTGTACTCCCAAGAGCATTTCACGTGAATATTAGCACAGTGAAACATATCGTGATTGGCACGTACGATCACGCGATCCACTTCGAGACTGTAACGCTTAGTCACTAATCAAATATATTTTCTTAAGGAATAATGAATATAATGCAAAAAAAGAACGTTGTTAATAACGTTCTGTTTTATGAACTGTTCATTAAAATTTTTTTCAGTAGGAATTTATAGTGTAAACATTGAAAGAATGCGATGAGTAGAATAGTTTTATGTCTTCACATCATATTTCGACGTGAAGACTTATTTATAATCACATTAATGATTGAATGGAAATGGTTTTGTGGTATTAAACAACGAATATGAAATATTGACCGTCGAATCTCGCTTGAACTGCTTACAATGACTGCAGTTGAACAGCAACTATGAAAGGAAAAATTCCCAAGGAAATTTCAAATTTCAAGTCTTTGCAGCTTATTGTCAGTAAAAGCTCTCACAATCAGATCTCAGAATCATGTCATGAGATTTCTCGACAGCTCTGATTTATTGTGCCTTTCTGATTTTTCTGATCGAGTATTAACAGTGAGTGCCTATCAAATCCTCATTTCCACAAGTGATTTGACTATCAATTGCTGAACTGCATTTGATTTTCAGGTGTGGATAGAATGCATCGAATTTCTTTCCATCGTTTTGCCGTCCCCTAATGAGATTTTAAAAGACACCGGCAGTCTGTATCTGATGTTAACTTTGATGTTTTGTTGGCACTCAAATTGATTTTGAGTGATTCTTGAACGTACAAAATTGCTATTAGGAAAAAATCACTTGAATGTACAGATGGATGGTTAATGCATGTCTACTCGAGTGAACACGAAACGAGTTCAGATCCGAATTAATCGGAGATCAGTTAACCAGTGTTAATTAAAGTTGTGCATCACTTCAGTTCATCATGTTCTCCAAAACGAATACAGCATCAATCGCACCATTCAACATTTGTTTATCTGTATCCAATCACTCGTCAATGAGATCATACGCACATATATTTTTCCTGCTTCATAAGTATTTTAATTTTAACAAATTTGTAAATTTGAAACAATTTTGCACGTATTTCATCATAAGTTACGGTGTATTTGCTCATTGCTTTCACACCAGTAAAACGTTATCACCCCAAATCAGTGATGTCAACTTATCAATGACTTTATCGCATTATCGATAAATGCATCATTTTGGAATGTACCATTTTCGCACGTTCATAAATAATTTTTGATTGAATTGTGACGCTTGACACACCATTGAGTTGTGGTTATTAAGTGTTGATAAGGTGAAAGATTATACGAGTACTTTGATCAGTACTAATAGATCAGTACGAATACTGCTAATATCCACCGTGAACTTTGAAGAAAACTCACACAGTTGGTCAATTAGTTGAAGGATTGGAGTAGCGAATCGGAAAGAATTTTAACTCTGTTCGGTCACTCAAGCCTTGATCGATATCTATGAGGATAATAGATTTGGAACGATGATGCGATTTCCAATTATAATTTTTGAAAGCAATGAAAAATAATTGCTTCAAACCACATGAATTCGGCATTTAAAAATTTGGCAAAAGAACGGAAGAATTTGCAATGGAATGAAGTGTTTAAATAGAAAGAGTAATGTCAATGAAAAATGAATGTGATTCACGCTCTTTGAAGTGGTTCGGTTGGCAAGAGTTGTTTGGTGCCCGAATTGTGCCATCTGTCTAGTTCGGTTGCACTGCTCTTTTTCTGTTTCAAACTAATATCATATTGAATTAGGAATATAATGAGGGATACCTAAAGCATCTTCATTTAAATAAGCCCGTATCTTCATTGAGCTTCAACGTTCAGCTCGAAAGAAATAAGGCTTGTCAAATGCAAGAGATACTTCAATAATAAATCACCACAAATATCAAAAGAAGCTGCTCCATCACTCAATACGCCTTTCAATGTAAAGTCGGCTTGAGACACAAGCAAAAAGAATTTAAGATTTACAAAAATCATTGCGTCAATTTACGATCGGATCTGAACATTATTACATTATTCCGCGTTTGATGTGAAATGCCGCTACATCTCCAGCACCTTTTTATCTCCTCTTATCTCTTAAACTCCTCACAGCACACTTCGTAATCTTCATCTGCTTATTGTATCTGTTCTCATTAATCATTAATCTTCACTCCTCAGAACAACTTTCTAATCCGATCAATCGTTTGGGTGCAGTTATCCGTTAAGCGCTTTCGTTCTCTTTCGCAACGACCATTCAACGAGCTGTTCTCACCGCGTACTGTTTCCTCATATCCTCTTGTTCGAATATCGCTATCGTTCCTACCTCTCAGCTACAAATCTAACCTCACATTGTCAGTGCTTCCTTCAACTAGCCAACTTACCTAACACGTGCTGGCACTG